CTAAAGAAATCAACAGAGGTCTATTAGACAAGGATGTGAAACCCCCACACCTTTCTTGCTGTATGCAAAATGTATTTTTATTGGGGACTTTTCAAGTTATACCCAGTGACAATCTATTTGCTATCATGCCATACTTCAGGCATTGTTTGAAAGACATCCCAAGTCTCCATGGATTAACTCAAAAGGATGGTAGCATTTTTTCTTCTTGCAGAAAAGAAGGACCAATGCTGTAGATACTTGTTTACTTCCAGAAAAATTCTGGAAATTAGCTTCTACAGACATTATGCAATGTTCATTTTAACATTTCTACCTACCTTTTGTATTATACACACTACAAACATTGATAGGGAGTCATTTTACCTCATTCCAACAAATATATTAAGTGAAAAATACATAAATTGACAACAAGTTCAAATTTACCTTTTAGGGGAGGATATAGAATTTTCTAGCCCAAAGACTTTATGAAGCTCATAACAATAGTAGGGAGATCCAGTGTTCAAAATATCTCTTCCTCAAGTTGTGAATTGCTTCCAGTAGGTTGCAGTCATTCAGAATTTCCCACTTTGTCACATCCCATTTTTGGGAGTTGTCACAGTCAATGCCCTGCCTTATCCTGAGTTTTTATTGTTTCATCCCCAGACTTGGTATATACAATCTACACCTCTTTAGCTATGTTTCATGCACCAGAGTTTAGTTCTTAAAATGTCTGGTTCTTGTGTTATAGCACCAACTTTGTCCAAAAAATCATGTGACATTACTTTTGATCAGTTAGTGTAGATACTTCTTCACGGCCATGTCTTGATAACGCGGACGATTGAACTAGATTGTTGATCACAAAAGTTTTAAGGTGTTGACCACATGGAGTTAAAACTCAATGCACGTAGTTACTGAACCCTCCACCTGAGAAGGGAACAGCGACTTCGGGGAATTTACTATCATGACCCTAGTGTTGCAAACTCACCTAGTGTTGCAAATCACTGTCTCACACCTCAACAAACAGGACTGAGCCTCTGAAAATATTTGAGACAATGTAAACCAATATGCTTAACATGACTCTATTTTTTATTTGAGGAAAATCCCTCAGGAAACAAGCTTAGGAGGGTAGATATAGTGGAATTCAGTGGTTTGACAGCATATTGCCCACCTAGAATAATCAAAACTGGGTGAAGAGTTGTAAAACTTTGTCCTAACAGAGATACATACTTATGCTAAACACTACAGATAAATTTGAGCCTATCCATTGAGTAGCTCTATGAAAAGGACATTTGAATGGGCGAGCGTGACAATTCACGATGACCCAAAGCAGCCCATTCGAACTCTGACAAAGGGTGGGCATGCTGACATCAAAACATGACAGCTGAAAGCAGAACGATAGGCCATGCCAGATCGACACATACATAGGGCAGACTATTGTGGTACTAGTGTGACATCAATTCAGAGGTTGAAATTTAACACGTTGTGAGAACTCAGTGGCCCCAGCCATCACGTCGCTTTGAAATTTTGGGAGTCCGCCCTGAGCATGTGTCGATCTGCTGTGGCCTATCGTTCTGCTTTCAGCTGGAACAGAGCGGAGATTGTGATCTCACCTCATCGTTTCTGATTTGGCCTGATCTGACGTGACTCCACTGTGACACTAGGTGATTTTCTCTTTTGCCTTGGCACCTACCTCACCCACCTCAGATAAATACGAAAAAAGCATATTATGAAAGCCTAGAACTAAGGCTTTCCAATGGTCAAAGAATTACAAAAATTGGTTGAGTTCTTGAGGCACTATAGTGGTTTGATTGGAATATTTGCAACACCCTGTCAATGATAGTATAGGTGCTTCCGATGGCGGTGACACTAAATTGGTGAATCAGTGATACATAGTCAATATATGGGTGACTTCTTTACTAAGGACATCTACTGAGGATATCAGATTGGAGGCATGAGGGAAGAAGAGCGATCTTACGATGCCAGGAAGGTTGGAATGAACTCGGTTTTATTGCGACCATCGTTTGTGAAGCATTGCTGAGTAGCAGGATCATCATCTCCATCACCAACGCCGCTGTCACCCAAGGAGAACATCAGGGGAACACCTCTGGCACCTAATCTTTGAGTCAATTTCAATATTTGAATGTGACTTGTGCCAAGCTTACAGACCGAGTTGAGCAAAACCTCCACACACTTGTTTAGCATAGGGAAAGGGCAGTGTTTGCTCATCATCACTGCAACTCGTTGAAATGGCCAATGGAACATCGCTCTGAGACAAAACAAAATCAAGCCAAGCAGTGTAGGGTCTAAAAGCAGAAGGGGTCAAACCGTTGATTGCTCAAAGCAAGATTACTTACTCGTTCGTATTCTCTGGTGGTGAACTATCGGGGATGAAGGGTGGGCTACCGCCCGTCGAGTAGAATGTTGGCTTCATAAACTGTGGTTTAGCGATGTGTGAACACTGGAACTGATGCCCCATACTTATGGAGATAGGATACGAAAGTCCGAACACATATTGGGTATCAAGATTCGCTTCATCCCCTGCATTGGCTGGGGTCTGATCGTTCTGTCCACCTGGTAAAGGCTAATGTCAAAACCCTTGAAAGTTACTGGATTACTTTGGACCAACCATTCACAGAAATAAACTGGAATGTAGAATTAACAGCATCCAGTCGCTGCTCAGCAAAGAACTGCTGTAAATCCGCCACATTCGCAGATTGATTTTACACAAGAGTCAGCAAAGCTGTGGGATGCACAGGACTTGAGTGCAAACCAGATATCCCATGATTCTGATTGAGTTACGATGGGCGGAAGGTACAAAGTCAACAGCATTATAGATTTGTTGAAGACAAGAGATGGTAATGTTCTTGTTGCAACTTGCGTCCACTGTGACTCCAGAAGTTGCATCAACAATCAGGGAAAGATCGCCATTTGTTGCGTCTGAGATGGCAGAGGATTTGTCCAACCAGATTATCATTGATTTGGATTTTTTGAAGCAACCAAACATGGTTGTTGGCTGAATGACATTGACGTGATCATGGAGGTGACTGGGAAGACTGTAGTCCGTGGTGCGGACTATGAAGTCTCCGTCCTCAAGGTGTTTCCAGACGTAGTATTTCTGTACAAGAGTATGGGATGTAAGCATTACTTCCATCACGGAACTAAAGTCAGGACCCACAGCATTGAGCATCTTTTCTGCCAGGCTAACCGGAACTTTGACCAATACCCAATCTTTTGCTGGGCTTTTGACGAGGTCGCTCTCTTTGAACCTGTGTGAGAAAAGCCATTGGTTCACGGAGTCGATAGTCTCCTGATGAGGGGGGTCGAGTGCCTCCACTTCCTCCTTGGAGAGATGCTGACCATAGCGTTCATGGTCAGGGCTGCTCACTTCGTAAAGGTGCCGTTCCAGAATGGAAAAGTTGGGTCGTTGAAGCAGCCCAGGCTGTAGTTTTAGACCAAATTGACCTAGAATGTTCCACCTTATTCATTTCCATAGGGTGTGCATTTGGCCACTTGGCCAAAATGCCATGGGCTGTGGAACATTGGAATATTTAAAAAAAAGCCTTTCAGAAATAAAAACCATTGCATCTATAATAAAATATACCCCAGAATATGTTTTCTG